TGCACTGAAAAGAAAATGTTTTGTTTCAAACAACCCTATTTGAATAGAGAAATAGCAAAACAGAGGAAATAGGAAGATAGATTGAGAACTGATGTGAAGATACATTGTTTCACCCTGCATCTCTATAGTTAAAAACCTCGCCCAGAGATGTGGGAGACCTAGTGTCAGTTCTCTCCCCTTCTGAACTGATCTGAACCCAGATCCTCCACCCAGAAAAGCCACAGCCACAGTGCTGAAGTTGGTAATTCTGATCTCTTCTTCGGCATTTTCACTTGTATAAAGCAGCTGAATGTTCACATAAACCCCCTTTGGAATTAAAAGGAATTGAGCATAACCTGACAGGCAATTTTGGCAGGATACAAGTTGCGCTATTCTACAAATTCAGTATTGGGGCCGGGAATTCACCCAGCTCCAATTCTCAGTATGATTTTGGCAGTACCCTGGAAACAGCTATACTTCCATTTCCATGGCCTGCGGTGATCACATCCTTGGCCTAGACTGGCCACTAGTATAAAAGGAGGTACCAGAGTATACATTTTTGGTAGGCTTTCTTTAACATGTCTTGCTACTTCTGACAAGGGTCCAGCATGTCCCATCAAACTAAATATTGTGAATTAATTAAATTACCAGAATGAAATTAGTTTCAGAGTCAGTTCACGTGTACACAGTAACTTTTAACGACACAGGCAACATAACACCTTTCATTTCGCAAGTGACACTCTTGCAGTGCAGTGGAAATTTAAAGCACTACATAAAATCCAAGTAATGGTTTGAAGGTTAAACAGTGTCTTACAGTTCAGGATAATAATAAAGTAATTCTCAGGTTGTTAATACTAGTTAGATAGCACTAATTTTTGCTACATACACTTCTGTTTGTTCATTTCCAGTATCAGACTTTTCTTGTATAAAAGGAACAATCTCACCATACTCTGGAAGGTCTTTTTAATAATTATTGTTAAAAAAATGTCAAATCTGGATGCTTATAAGGCAATACTCTTTATTGCAAAATACATGCTGCCCCATGTAGTCCAGTGATACATCACCATCTCACTACTGAGTTTATTATTATGTGATATTTGACATGCAATTAATCTAAAACTGTAAATTATTTGCAATTATTTCCTTTCAAAATAACAGTATAAGATACTCTACCAAGGAGCTTCTGATAAAAAATTAGTTTGAACTTTCAGTTCCGTTTGAAAAACTTGCTGCTCAGATTTGCTTCTTAAACACAATTTTATTCTTTTGAATACTAACATGGAAAACAAGTACAAAGGGAAAGGGCAGGAAAGCCTGTCTTCTAAGCATGCTGATATTAATGGAGCTATCTTGAACTGCCAAGAAGTACACCAACAAGACTAAAGAACAGTTTAAGTTGCTTTGATTTTGAACAAAATTAACTGCATGTTGCAGTGCACTGGAAGCAGAAGAAAGAATCTATACTATTCCATCCATATCAAAATTCCCTTCTGCAAACAAAAAGGCTCCAATCCCAGATGACTTGGACCTGATGATAGACCCCTGCATCAGGGCTTCCTAGACTTTGCCTTTTTTCATGAACCAACTACTGATTTATTTCCTTTTCTACTCTGCTGTCCTGGCTTTTAAAATAGTTTTAATTAATTATGAAAGTAATTCCTTACTATTCTAATACTCTAAACAAATGCACTTAGCATTAGCTGGGACTAAAGTAGCGCAAAAAAGAAGCCTAACCATTAAAACCAGTGTTTGGACCATGTGATCTCCCTGATGCTTTCAGTTTAATTTGTGTGATGGGAGTTTATGAAGACGTACATGCTTTTTAATTATTATAAAGATTCAGAAATAAATTTGTTTATATGCTGTCATCCTAATACTCAGATGTATTTGTTCAAGTCACATTAGATCAGAGGGTGACTTTCCAAGACAAGAAAGCACTCTAAAATTATTCAGTGATATTTGTGACACATAGAATCTAATGACATTTCCAGTCACTCCTTAGTTAAGATAAGCAGGTATAAATGAATGTAGCAACACTGCTTCACATTATCAACTTAACTGAGTAGAAAGAACAGACTGGCAATTAGTCTCTGCCATGCTTACAAGCAGATGAGTATCTCCTTGCTCACGAGCAGTCAGTTTTCCAGCTATTTTTACATCTCTTTGTTTTAGTTTATCAGGATGATTATTTCTGGGGTTTTGTTAAAGTGCAATATTGACATTTAACTTCCCTTTTGCATTTTTACATCTCTGCTGGGAGTCTCTAAATGGAGAATGCTAAGGGCTGTTTGACAATTTCCTATTTCTCTAGGTCAAATGTGATCCTGGAAGAAAGTTGTGGCAATTTTCCTTTTCCTTTTGATGTGAATATCTTTGCAGCCTGGACAATAAAAAGGTTCTGAAATAACTCATAATTAGAGAATGTTGAATTCTTAATCAGGCCTTTTTGTAACAAACTCATTAAGTTGCACAAAACAATATTTAAGTTTTGCACATCTGTTTCCTAGGGACCTGGAGGCCAGGTTAGTTACTTATAAAATTTTAAGGTACCATCAGCAGAGCTGCAGCCTCGTCAGTGAGCAATATCCTCTTCACAACTACACTTATGCAAAAGACCATCACAAGCGAAAAGCATTATAAATTACTGAAACTCCTCTCAGACAGTCATATTTAATTACAACATTTGGCCAATATGTAACAGGCCACTGACAGCACTTCAGCACTGCATCCTATCTTCAGAGAGTAGAGCACTGGTGTGTTTGGGTCTGTCACTGCCTTGACACACATAGTGAAATTCACATGGCCCCTTCTTTTTGTGTAAAATAGAGTAATAGACATGGTGGTGGGCATGGATCCTTCTGCAGATTACAGCATAATGAATGGAAGGTACACTTCTACAGTAAGAACAGCCAAGTACATTTCTGCAGCATCCCTCAACTTAGAGACCATGAAGTTCCAACACCAGTGGATACATGGGGCAGGAGAAACAATATTAATTATCTTTTCAAGATTAGCAATACCACAGGATGCACTGTACCTATTTGCCATATGTTCTGTCACTACGCCACTTACCAATTTGCAGTTCTGGATACATTTCATACAGGCACCAGTTGACATTGCAGTCACAATGGGTTTTCTCAAAGAGATTGTCTATAACGTCCCGTGTCACCTGACGCTCATCCACCATTAGTGACTTGGTGCTGTTATCGGACAAGTGCACCTTGACAACAAGCTGAGTACAGAGCCACAGAAGAGTCAATTAATTTCAGAAGCAAGTAAAAGGTCTGAATCTGCTAACACAGATAAGAAAGATTAAGGCTGAAGGTTATTATGGATTCAAAGGCACCCTGTCCCCCAGTGAGCTGAGGGAATAAAAAAGCATGGAAGCTTTCACATTATGTTGCCACCAAAATAGAGACCTTTTATCAAAAAAGGAAATTGAACCTTGATCTATCTATGCATGACTTAGCAAAGGTGAAATTGCTATGGAGAAAAAGAAGAAGTTAGAATCTGCTCTAAATCTACTAGATGTGCAATTAGGGAAAATGCTTGATAAGGAAACCAAGTACAAAAGGATGGAGAATCCCTACTGCAAGCTAGAAATGTGGTAAGTTTAGTTTTAAATGAGAAAAAGAATGGAAGAATCTTGCCATGCCAACAGACTAACCTGAAATCAGATTGCACTAAAATGTGCAATAGTCCAACACCCATCAATAAGCAAACAGGTGAATTACATATATTGAGTAAATTAACCTAAGACACTCATAATTTTTTCATATTGTGATGTATTTGTTAAACAAGAAAGTGTGCTAGTAGCTCTTATGGTAGCATTTCAGTATTTTAAGTCTCACCTTTTTAACTTTGGCTTCCTTCAGTTTCTCCAATGCAAGTTTAATCTTGTCAGCTTTAGCCTGTGCCTCTTGCTCTTCCTGAAAAGACACAAGATATAATGGTATATTTCTTGTTAAATAAGGCCAGCAATTTATGTTTATTTGACAAGACTTGTTTGTTATCTATATCCAGAACATACAGCTTACTATGAGAAACCTCCTACTTGCAGGGAATCCTCAGCTTCCCTTGAACTAATATCCTCCAGCAAAAACTCTAATTTAAAGCACTTTCCTTTATTGCCCAGTCATGCAGCTCTTACATGATCTGCTCCTCAAATGCTACAGGAATTCCTGAAAACTGGACTCTTCTGTGTTTCCATATGCGTTACAGCTGGTGCAAAGAAGATGAAGGAAGATCCAGCCTAAATGAAACAGAACTGTGGATGCAGTTAAGAGAAACTATTGTTTTTAGGATCTTACTGAAAACTTGGCTTGCAACTATACCACCTAGAAATTTACATTTTCTCTTAACTACATTAATCTACTTGAATTCTTTCACTTGCCACATAAGAGCTCTTACTGCACACATACTTACCTACAGTATCACCTCCTTCAATCAGATGATAACATGGCTTTTTATTCTAATAATGGACCTATTCATATTAACATAGACACAGTTTGAGGACTCAGATTCATTCCAGGTTTTGCCAAATGCCACAGTAAGATTCCTAAAAATCTCAGTATCACCCAGCTCTTCTTTGACAAAGCAGCTGTATGAATATTTTGCCTCTCTCTCAATATTAGTGAGATTTACGATTCAAGAAGACTCTGGATACCCAGTTGCTGAGGGTTTTAAGTACACGTATCAGATGCCAGTGTCTCCTGTTGCCTCTGTGACCAATTTATCGATTGTGACCATTTCTTTTTGCCACCTGTCTTCCAGCAGTCCCCCCCTAGTTATGCACAGAGTTGGAAAAGTACATTTTGGACAGTAATTGGTGCTTGGAGTGCCTTGGACTGTTAGTACTAGTGGAGGGTTTTGTTTCTTTCCATGTCTAAATCCCTGCTCCTCCCATTTAAAACTGTCTTATCTTTGCTTTCTTGACTCTTTGTTGATTTTTATTGTCCCTATGGCACTCTCTCACTAACAGATTACTTTGTTTTAAAGGGGTAGAATTTTTTTCTATCATACTCAACAGACACACCCAACTTCCAGCCAAGGACTGTGGGGTTCCCGCCCTGCTTCCACACAGAATTTTTCTGTCACCTTCAGCCTCCATTTTCTACCTTAAAGTCATAATTTCAGTGGTCTTCAGACTAAGAGAAATCCAGGATGGTTCATGGGAGAAGCACTTGCAAGAAACTAAGAACTACCACCACTTCCTTCTTACAGCAATATCACAGAATCAGAGCAATAAAAGAGCCAAGAAGGTTCTTACTCATTTCAAGCTTTGAGGCATGTTCAACCATAACTAAAGTACTCCTGATTGACATCCTTCCCAATAAACAGAATATCTTCTGCTTTATCACTACTTCCCCTGGGTATCCTTTAGGATGTCAGAAATAGAAGGTGAGGTGTGCAACCTGGAAGAGATGGCTTAAAGCATGTTTGCTGTTGTCAGATTTTCCACGCAATCAGTAAAAAATGTCTTACTTTTTTCTCCACAGGTATAGATATTTGCATTGCTACAGCTCAGAGATGCTTAACTTTGAGAATCCAAAAATAGCCTCTGTAGCTGAACAGAAGCTATTTGCATTTAGGCTGACTTGCATAAGGGGAAGAGCACAGACTCTCACACTTCGGCCCTCCCCATAACATCTCAAAACACCTCTCTGCAGGAAGCAGGAAAAGCATCTTAATCAAAGTGGTTGAGTGTGGTGTGGGCAGGCCTTCCACTGAAAATTTTAGGCAGGTTTAACTCAGGCTTCACCTGCATGCAACCTGTATTGAGCAGTTCACACACTGTACAGATCTGTGCAGTAGAACTCTCACCTGAGAGCCTTCATGTTTTCATGACCTTTATCTTAATGTAGAAAAAGGAAATGATGCAAAGTAAATAAGCTATCAGGTGCAAAATTTTAGCACTGTTAAATGCTTTGACAGGCTAAAACATTTGTTTTTCTACCACAGAATCATTACCCCATTTTCTGAATCTTCAAACAGAAGTACATACAAGTCATCCAGGTAATGCCACAGAAAATATAGTAGCCTTTTTCAGCTTAAGGACAGTTTTTAAAATAAAGATCAGAATTGATGGAAACTTATGAGGCAGCTCTAAGCTTCCCAGAGAGGAAGGCTGTACTTCTCAATTTTGGCACACTCAAAGGTTAAGAGTATGGTCTTAGTATTGCAGATACATTTGCACTAATCAACACTATTCTTATTTGACTGCAGCCAACCAGAAGTGTTAAACTAAACATCAGCCTTGGTTGGCTCAAGAATAAATTATCAAGTACCCTGGCTAAAAGGAAGGTGAATTTTGATGAAAAAAAAAAAAGTTTGATTTTCAGCTTTGCTTCATTCTACTGAGCAGAAATGTCACATCAAAGCATACACTAACCAAGACAGTAAATATTAAATTGAAATAAGTTATTTCCCTACTTCCCTATTTAGATGGTTATTACTTCCATCATTTATACTGCAACTTGTGTCATAGCCCTACAGGCAATTTTGTGTACAGTAAGTCACATGAGGGTTATGTCATCAGCATGTGAATACAACCTGCATCAGAAAATGAGGCAAGGGCTGTGGGAGAAAGCAGAACTTGTACCTTAATAAGCAAATCAACAACTGCAGACAGATTCCTTAAAAATGTCTTTTCCCATCCTTCTCTATCTTCTCTCTGTATCTGGAACAGACTAGAAAACACTGCTAGAGATTTAACTCGGCACACGATCTCAGAGGGACACTTTAATTGAAGGAGACAGAAGAAACTTCCAGCTACATTTTTGCACATAGAATTGCAGTTATGGTTAGCAAGTCTACCCTCTTTTCAGGCTGAGATCTTGACTCTCACATGATGCAGGATGCCAGCTAAAAGAGAATTAGCTCAGTACATGACTCAAGGGAAAGAACTGTGCATCACTGCTGATTTCAGTGAGTGTTAAGAGGACAGCATCATAAAGGAAGCGGTTGGAAGAGAGGTCTGGAGGTCTAGTGCCTGCCTCCCTGACCAAAGCAGGACCCTCACCCACACTAGATCAGGTCAGCCATGATTTTGACTGGCAAACTTCCGAAGAAAGAGAATCTGTGATCATTCTGGGTTGCCTGTTCCAGTGCTACACCACTGCCTGAAACGGAAAAGGTTTTCCTAATGTCCTGTCCAAAACTACAAAGCTACAACATGTAGTTGTTGCCCACTGTTATATGGCCTAACACTGCCATGGAAAACGTTGGCTCCACCAGCTTCGTAACTACTCTTCTGGTATTTTTAGGCTGTAACTGGATCACTCTCAAGCCTCCTCTGTCAGACCAAAGAAGCCCAGCTCCCTCAGCCTGTCCTTGCTGGCCCTCATCACTCCATGTCCCTAGCCATCCCAGCAGCTCTCTGCTGGACACTCTCCAGTATCTTCTCATCCAGAACAGGGTGCAGTATTCCAGGTGCAGCTTCACAAGTGCCAAGATAAAGGAATAATGGCTGCCTCAGTCTGCAAGCCATGCCCCTCCCAACACAGGGTAGTTTCCCATACTGAGATGATCTTGTTCAATGTGGCATCCACTGCATCTTCTCTTCAGCTGGGCTGCTGCTCAGTCTGCTGCTTCCCAAACTGTACAAGTGCATCCAGTTATTCCACCCCAGGTGCAGGACCTTGTACCTTACCTGTTTTTTTGAGGGTTTTGATGGCCCAGTCCTCACATTTCTCAAGGTCCCCCTGAACTGACATTCTGCCATTCTTCTTATCAGTCAGTGGCCTTAATGAAAAGCACCTTCAGCACATCTGATTTTTTATGTCATCACTCAGGTCGCAGAACAAAATGTTAAAGAACACAAGCTTCAGTGTTGATTCCACCAGAAAAACAGTTTGAACTGAAAACCAGTTTGGCCAATCTCAGCCCATCTAACCAGCTACCCTTACAGGTCATATTTCCTCAGCTTCCAAACCAGACTATTTGAACGCTTGGTACTTCCTTATAGGCCACAAGTCTAAACCAAGATGGGGACATTTTTGTAGGACAATGGATAGAACTTACCTTTATGGCATCTCCTCTATATCAATTACAATAATTAAATAAAAGACTTAAAGTTCTGAAGCTGGTTTTGCAAAATTGATTTTCCCTTAAGACAAGAAGCTATTATCTTTGAGATACAGAAAAAATGAAGTTCCTCCCACATGTTTACAACTTTCAGTTTTCAAAAAGCACTGAAATGTCCTATGCAACAAATAAAGATTTAGCCAATGAATCACTTTTTGTATAATTAGAAAGGTCCCCTTCCTACCAAATTTTCTGTTCCTTTTGCTAACTGTTTGCTGTTTGATGTTAAACACAGAGGCAGCAGTGATGCTGAGGTGCTCCATACTCCTTTTGTGTGGACCTTTTAAGCTGCAATTAACTGTCTGCGGTTTTAAGCAAAGCTGACTGATACCGCTATATATGGGCTTACAGAGCTTTTTTCATATTCCTTAAATCTTTCCTTTCCCTAAAAGTAAATATCTTCTCTCCATCATAGTTACTATGCATATGAGTACAGAAAGAGATACTTTTAGATCTTTCATTATTTTAAATTAATTATTTTTAGGCTGCATGATTCTTCTGATGCACAGAATCTCCTCACCAGGCTGTGACAGGGCAGAATTTTTTTATATTACTTCCCTCTCTACAACCTCATGTCAAACAAGTCAACTTCTAATGCTTCTACTAAAAAAATAATGTTTGATTTCAATTGTTAAAACAGACCTGCAAGAAACATGAATATGGAGGAGGTTGTGGTAAGTCTGAAATTTTAGTGTACAGGTAAGCCAGTCGGTACCTACTGATAACTTTGGCACCTCCTAAGTAAAGACCATCTGTTGCATACTGTAGATGGTCTTCCTTACTTCCCTTCAAAGACAAGACCTAGAAGAGTTGAGTGCTTCTGTGTTGAGATTCGGAGAGATACTTGTGCTCAGCCTTGTAACCATCTCCTAGCAAATGTTGAGTTTTACATAACTGAAAAGCTTTTCCTATTGCAAAGTATCAGTTAGGCCAGGGATGGATCTGGGAAACATCCACAGAACTATCTCATCAGTACCAACAGCACAGGCTGCAATGAACAAACAGTGATATCTTCACAAAATGGTCGGATCTTCGACCAGGCTTTGCACTAATGCCAAAGCCAAGTCCTCTGTAAGAAGGTATTAACTAATCTGCACTTATTTTAAAGAAAGCACAAGTTTTCCATTACAGGAAACCATTTGCCATGATTTATGCCTCTCTTGGCCTATAAAAATGATTATTAGAAAGGTAAAAGAATGAACAATATGTCAAGGAACAGAAATTGCTGAGCCCAAAACAATATAAAACTCACACTCCACAGTTCATAAGTGCTACACTATCATAGAACCTTCTCAATGTTTCTACCTCAGATGTCTACTTTTGTTCCAATGCCAAATACCACTTGCAAACTTACACCTATTAAATGCTTAGAACAAGATTCCAGCCAGGCTTACCTGGGTGAGTGGCTCAGGAGGAGGTGGCGGCGGTGGTGGTGGAAGGTCTAAACCAGGGTCTGGAGGTGGAGGGGGAAAGTCATCCCCGAAGTGTCTAGTAATGGTAACACAAGGACTTGATTTAGAATAAATGTCACGATCCAAGCTTGTTGATGGCTGAGTAACTGTACTTTGGTGGTTGCCTGTAGTTTTCTGGGCTTGTAAAGTTCTCTGTTCAACATCATTTATATCTGCTACCAGATCAGCCATTAATGCATCCAGGTCTTTGTCCTCTAGGGCACTTAGGGATTCTGTAAAGAAAACCACAAAATTTGTCAGTGTGAGTGCAATGCAAAATTCTTTGTTTCCAGTTCAAATGAGATTAAACTGCAGAAGGCATGGTTACTGTAAGATATAAGGGTTATGGGAAAGAAAAACATTTTAAAATTATTCAAGAAATTAGATGTGTTTTAGGAATAGCAATTATTCTGGTCATACTGAAATTCAGAGAACAAGGAACTCTACGAATACAAATAAACAGGACAGGAAGCTTCACTTTCAGTTATAAAGCCTGGCCCTCATCCAGCAGTTTCTGGGTGCATGCAAGAAATTCCATTAATTCCTATCAGGCTATTTATCTTAAGTACATTCATAACTGCTTATCAAATTTTGATACAGCAAACAACAAACCATGTAACTGAGGCCTAGACCAAGAATATCTTCATATATTACTACTATTCTACAACTCTAAAATTAACATGAAGCAGAACCAGAGAGTTATAAAACACACAAAATTGCATGACATAATTTATAGCACATCAGTAATTGTGCAATTAATATCTGTGACATCCCTCACATAATATGTGGGGTTTTGAGGATCCCTTAAGCAAATAAACAAACAAGGTAGTCTCTTATTCAAAAGCATCTTATCAACCAGATAGAAATACCATAAATTTTGCTTTCTATCTTCTATTCTGTCAGAGTACTGGAACTTCGCATACAATTTCTTTTTGATTGTTTGAACTAGCCATGGTATAAGAGATTCTGTGGACTAACATCCTGTAGCATGATTTGGCTCTCTAGAAGAGAAGGGTACTTTAAGAAACAACAGATTAAGAGGTTTAAATCTCTTTGAAGAGTTAAAAAAAAATAATAATCACAAATTGGGAAAGCTTTAAGTGGGATTTTGGAAACGGATGAAGAGCGCTGAACTAGATACTCAAAAATGCTAATATATTTGGGTAGGAAATAAAGTAAGGGAGCCAGGAGACCTGCATGGTTAAACAACTGCCAGGCAAACTGAAGTGGAAAAAGAGAACAACCCCATGTACCAGTACAGGTTGGGGGCTGACCTGCTGGAGAGCAGTGTAGGAGAAAGGGACCTGGGGGTCCTGGTGGACAGGAGGATGACCATGAGCCAGCAATGAGCCCTTGTGGCCCAGAAGGCCAATGGCACCCTGGGGTGTATTAGAAAGGGTGTGGTTAGCAGGTCAAGGGAGGTTCTCCTCCTCCTCTATTCTGCCTTGGTGAAGTTGCATCTGGAATATTGTGTCCAGTTCGGGGCCCCTCAGTTCCAGAAGGACAGGGAACTGCTTGAAAGAGTCCAGTTCAGAGCCACAAAGATGATGAAGGGAGTGGAACATCTCCCTGATGAGGAAAGGCTGAGGGAGATGGGTCTCTTTAGCTTGGAGGAGACTGAGGGGCGACCTCATCAATGTTTACAAATACATTAAGGGTGAGTGTCAGGACGATGGAGCCAGGCTTTTTTCAGTGATGTCCAGTGACAGGACAAGGGGCAATGGGTACAAACTGGAACATAGGAGGTTCCACGTAAACATCAGAAAAAACTTCTTTACTGTCAAGAGTGACAGAGCACTGGAACAGGCTGCCCAGAGAGGCTGTGGAGTCTCCTTCTCTGCAGACATTCAAAACCCGCCTGGACACGCTCTGTGTGATGTGCTCTGTGTGATCCTGCTCTGGCAGGGGGGTTGGACTAGCTGATCTTTTGAGGTCCCTTCCAACCCCTAAGATTCTGTGATATTCCAACAACAGATCAATCATCAGACTAGGTATGAACATGCCACTAGACTGTCTCAGTTTACTCTGCTTTACCTGTTATGCTAAGAGTATTTTCATAAGCTTTTCTCTTCAGTGGGAAAGTTGGCTTATGATCCCTTCTATTTACATACCTCTAACCATTTTGCTGGCAGAGGCATTACCCAGCTTAACAGAGAACTGATCCTGGGACAAAATCACAAGTGAAAACCCACCAAGGTAAATACAAACAACTTGCCTCCAGGCAAAGGGAAAGAACAACAAAACAAACCACTAACAAAACCAAAGGTAGGGTTCTGGTTTTACACTTGGATAAATTAGCTCATTTAGTTTGTCACAAAGCTTCAACAAGCAACTCTATATGCAAAAGTGATGGTGCAAGCCAGAATGAGGGTAAGCAATGTCAAATGGAAGCAGTTGAAATCAGTACTTCCATTGGACAAAAATGCTTATGTAGGTCTGACCTCACACTGAGGAACTTTGTCTTAATCTATTAAGTTAAATCTTCACATTAGAAGGATGCATTTTACAAAGTAATTTCAGGGTACTTCTCAGATTTGTTTTCCTGTATACTCAGACATTTTTAAAAGTCTGACTCCTCTATGAGACTGAGCAATGTGCCTTTAAAATAATTTTACTCCTTTGAGGTTTTCTAAATTGAGAAACACAAATATACCTACACCTCCAGCAAAACAGGTTTTTTTGTTTGGTTTGGTTTGTGTTTTTTTTATCAAGTGTTTGAAGCTTTTGTTTTCATTTGTTGCTGTGAGACATTTTAAATAAGCATAGAAAGCATGAAAGAATCCGTTCAGCTACTTACCATTTAAATCTTTAAAACCAACTGTAAAGCTGAATTCATTGTTGGACACTTTGGGAGATGGAGGTTGTAGAGTCTCCACTCCTAAACTCTGTTAAAGTAGAAGAAAAAAAAATAAGGTGTCTGGTGACATAATTACTATTACAGACATAAAGATCTGTAAATCAATTACCAGAATTTGTCTAATGAAATAAATTATTCTTCAAGGAACAGAATGACATACTACTTTCTGGGATTATGCCTAGACTGGTAAACTAAATAGGGCCAAGACATGGGTTCAAGGACTGTATCACAACCACACCAAGTGTTCATGGTTTGCATGTTTCTCAACACCATGCTGAGCCAAGGAACTCTTGTCAGACAACTCCTGGGCTTGTTGTGGGGAACAGTGGAGCCTACAGCTGTTTCTACTACAGACAGTGGATAAAGCCAGACAGATTTTTAGGTTTTGGTTGGGTTTTTTTGAAGGGGGGGAAGAAAGAAGCTGTTGAAAGAGTTTAGCTGTGTACACGTTTGACTGACACAGCATCATTTGCTCCAGAGTGCTTTATTTACTAATATAAATGTAACCTAGCTGTTGCTTTCCCTGCTCTTTGCAAAAAAACCCCAACAAAAACAATATAATATAATAAACAACAAAACATGCTGCTGTTTGCAATAAAGACTCCAAATCTTCAGCTTCAATAGAGAATTCCTAGTTTGTGCCATGTTCGTTCGGAAGCAGGCAGGGAACCAATGCTTCACAAGTTAGGAAAAATGCATACAGCAGAGACAGAAAAAGACAAAATCTCCATTCCACAGTGCAGAAGGTGCACTAACAAGCAAACACTGTAGACAAGACTGGAAAGAATTTCAAAGGTCTGTCTAAACCATGCACCTGTCCTAAGGCAGGACAGTTTTACCTGGCTCATACCTGAAAAATGTATACTTAACACAAATTTTAAAGCCTCTTATTAGATAAATTCCATATCACCTCTGGCAATCTGTTTCACTGCTTCACTATCGAGACCACTAATGCTGCCATCAAACCTTCCCTGTGATGCTCAACCTAAACCTCCTTTGCTGCAGCTGAAGACCATCCCTGTTGTCCTACTCCTCATGAACATAAGGAACCACTGCTTTGTTCTGCTCAGATGCTGCCTTTGATATATTTTAAGATTTTTATTAGTCTCCTCTTCTCTAGACTAAACAACCCCCCACAATATTTTCTGATAGGTCATGTTTCTTTTCCTTCCGTTATTCCGATTGCTTTTCTCTGGATTTCCTCCAGTTGGCCCTTCTTCTCCCCAAAACGCAATGCTAACACTGGACACAGATTCCTGGTTAAGGTTTTACCAATGCTGGCTCAGAATGGAAGGATTACTTCATATACCCTACAAGCTATACTCCTGTTTACACATCCCTGTGAGATGTTTGTCTACTGGTGCCCATACTCAATTTGTATCAGAGGCTTTTATACTTCTTAGAGTTGCCTGAAACTGACACGCATTTTCCATGAAAAATAATACAAATGTTTTTCCTGGCAGCTCTTTTCACCAATTTCCCACCCAGAACATGTTGGTTTCTTCTGAAGTTATACAGGGCTGGAAACCAAAGCAATGAGAACTTTAAATATTTCTATGTTAATACTCACTCTCATAAAGATAGACATAGTATAAATAGAGGAAGAGATAGAAATTAAACACACGAGACTGTTTTACATTGCCTGAGAAAATAAAAAGATAAAAAGGGAGGGCACAAAATGTATTGATGAAACGGACTAAGAGCATAAAGGAAATGGTTTCATTAATAATCTCATACTGGCCATAAAAGTGCATTAAAAAAATGAAAGTACACGCAAAGAGAAATAACAGAGAAAACCATTCTAAATGCTAAAAAAAAGTTTAACATTAAGTACATAGAAATACCAGAATGTGCCTTTTATAAGCAGTTATCTCTTTTTAACAATCTAGCCTGTACTGATATTACCTTATTTTTCAGGCCACTTGTTTTAAATGTCAAGCAGAGAAATTTATTTGAAGCTTTTTCAAAATAATGTGTCTGTATTTATTCAGAGCGTAGGTACATTAAAAATGTAGAAAAGTTGCCTCTTTTCTGTAATACGTAATAGCTACTTTTCTAATCTTGATGGAAAAAAAAAATTATTTACCTGGGTTAGCATATCCATCTCCCCAAGTAAATTGCTGAACATTTCATCTATATCATCGCATGTTTGCTCCATCTGGAAAAAAAAAATCCACCAACAAGGAATCATCACAAGTTCATTTCAAACACAGCAATGATCAAAACCAGAGGATATGCAACAATCTTTTATATTGCTTTCCCAATTAACTTTAACACAACTGTTCATTACTTGCAAAACCCTCCACCTAGAGTTTAGAAATAACTACTAACAGATCAGAATCTCAATCCTGTATATGCTTAAAACACACACTTGAGCTCTACAGACATCAGGAGTTCCAACTATCTCCTTGTATTATGTACATTTCATAGGGAGTCACTAATAAACCATGGTTGTATCCTAAACGTCAAAGAGATGTAGCTCATGAGAGATAGAGAGGGAAACAAAGTTTAAGGTTGAGAAATTCTTGAATGCTTCATGTTGAAAGCTTTCTCTCTGGCTTACATGACTAATAATACAACAACAGTTTTGTTGAGTGTTAACTAGTGCAGGATCTGGTTGTGGTTAGGTACATGACCAACTTTTTGTCTCAGTACTTCTCCCAATTTTCTTTCAAATATATGTGCACTGAGAGAACTCCAGTCATACCTGACTTCAAGATACCTGAGGGAGAACAATGACAGAAAGAAAATGTGTACATGCTGCATGACAGCAAATGATTGCTCGTTTTCCAAGAGGGGTGAGTACAGCACCACACACTGGTGGTGCTGAGATAGTGGGGAGATATTACTTCTGTAATAATCCCCTTTTTCATAAATTTGTTCCTCTGCAGGGAGAGTAGTGGTGTCTGACACGGAACACTGCCAGAGACAAGATCTATAAACACCATTTTCTTAAGAAGCTCAAGCCTGCAAGGGACTGAGAACTCTGGTAGTGATCGCATAAAATTAAGGTTCAAATGAAAGTAAAACTTTAAACATATAAATAGTCCTATCGGTTCACTGGGTTTGTGTGCACCTGTACTGGGTTTATGTGGCACAGTTTTGGTAGGGGGGAGCTGCAGAAGGGCTTCATTGAGAAGACAGAAGGAGCTGCCAGCATGTCAGAAAGACAGTAGTTCCAGCTGGCTGTAGGATGGACTTGGTGCTGACCAAAGCTGAGTCCATCAGGAATGGTGGTAGCATCTCTGTGACAACATACTTAAGGGTAAAAAATGCTTCACAGCAGCTGTAAGAGAGGAGTGAGAAAACACAAGCCCTGCAGACACCAAGGTCAGTGAAGCAGAAGGCAGATGTGGTATTCCACTTAATGGAAGAGAGATTCCCCTGCAGCCCATGATGAAGCCCAAAGTGAGGCAGGTTGTTACCCTGCAGCACACGGAGAACCATTCCAGAGCAGATATTCACACTGCAGACCATGGAGGACCCTACACCAGAGCAGGTGGACATGACCTGAAGGAAGCTGCAGGCCATGGTGTGCCCATGCTGCAGCAGGCTCCTGGTGAGAACTACAGCCTGTGAAGAGATGGGATTTTTACAGTTTCTAATAAATTTAGACCTTTTTTCTTTACTATTATATTATCTTCTGATTTTTCAGACACATTTGATTCATAAGGAAAATAATGCAATCCTATGAAAAAGCAACACACAAAGAATTCTGTAAGAATTCTGTAAGAATTACAGCTCCACTGTAAAATAGAGCTGAGTTAGTCACTGATGAGTTTTCCTTATCGATTCAAATAAATTACATTTAACAGTAGGTTTGGGTTTTTTTGACCTTAAGCACATGGGGGAAGGGCAAAGGCCTGAACCTTTTTGAGAAGGAAATATGTTCGTGTCCCTTTCAATGAACACCATCCATCATGATCACCAAGCTGATAAAGCCATGTTGTCACCAAGTTACTGCCCCCACTGTTGTGTGTATATATATACTAAAAAAATTATTTTGTAAAAAAAAAAATTCTCTTGAATTTTTATTAGTTTAGTTTAGGAAGACAAAATTAACACCATAATCACCAAATATGCAAAAAATATTTTAAAGTTAAAATACACTGAATTACCTCTTAAACAGAAATGAGAACTCTACAAATCCATCAGGGCCTTTGTCAAGAGCTACAAAAACCAAAATATAATATAGTGAGTCCCCAAAACAGCATAAAGTGGAACTGCAAGAGTGTCTACCCACTCCATTCCTCTTAGACTCCTCTCCACAGTAATTTCCATTTCTTTTATTTGATTGCCACAGTAGGAACAAACAGACAAAACAATATTCAATTTTGGGAACTATCCTCTTCATTGAAGATGTTGCTTGATTTTGGACCACCAAATTCTTTTGACTTTTATAAAAAACCTTTAACTTATTCAAGCCAGAAACTCATAGCGAAACCTGCAGGTGTATGTACTATTATTAATGAAAAAGGGAAAAAGATTTACCAAAGACTTCAGAAGAATACTGAGTTTCATACTCAGTCCTCCTCTAGGCCCACTAAACAGTAACTTTTCGATCAAGTTTTTCTGTATATAATACTAATACTAGTACCTCTTAAAATCATTATCAACTGCAATTAACTGAAGTGAAAAAAAAGACAGTACTTTTACAATAAGTTTCCCATATTATACGATTTCAAGCAGAGATAAAAATGCGAATTTAAATAAAAAGAGGAAACCATGGTTGTCAAGTACAAATATGCTAAGGAGGGGCATGTGGGAAGGAACAGAAGTGAAACCTAACGTATTTTTAAAGTGATTGATTTACAGATTGATGCCTTGTAGACCACTTTTTGCCATAACACCATGCATATAGGCAAAGGTATTCCTTGTCTTTTATTTCCCCCAAATTTCACATCCTCAAATCTTCACTGAGCTCTCATGATTATTTTTTTATTTTTTTATTTTAAATGCTCCCACATTTCTCAGCTTGTACATCTAAGGGGTTGGGGCATTTTCTCGTCAGCTTGCTATTCTAACCACCAAGTCTCCCTATTTAGTTTACACATATTAAAATCTCACAGGTTTATATAGCACATACATTGACTCTTTGTATTTTGACTTTGTATTTTGAATATATTAATTCACCCGACCATTTACCAGAAGTTCCCCAGACCTGATAGACCTAATTTTTTTTACCTTCTTGGCTGACAAAAACAATTTAAATCTAAATTAAGAGATGTGAATCACAAAAGTCTTTTATTTTATTGTACTCTTTGTACTTCCTGCATATCTGTATTTCAGCTCACAAAATGAAAAATTACAGTCTCTGTGTTTTCGTTCCTACTTCTCCTCACTTGTTAGTGTCTGTCTTTTCTCCATCTCACCATTTGTTGCCATTTCCAAATACCACTTTAGGTGCCCCTGTGAGGGGGCCTCCAACCACCCCTGCTGCCCTGGGTGACAACACAAAACTCCTTTGCACTGTATTTCTAAATCCGGCAACAGACCCACACAAAACTTCTTCCCTATATCTTAAAAATACCTACTCCAGATATACCCTTATTTTGAAAATGAGATGTCAATTTCTACATTTTTTGAGCTATGGGCTAGGAAATTGGAAATAAGTTCTCTCACTTCTAACACCAGAGAAATCTGGCAGATGCACAGAAAGAAAGCTTGCTCACAGAGATGGACAGGGAACGGTCCCTGGTCCAACTTGCTGTGCTTGCATGAGCAACGTAGTTTGCTGACAGAGAACCCTGTTTTCCTATGAAGATGGTCCAGTATTCAAGGGCACCAATTCAAAACACTGACTGAGAAATTTTTTGCTTAGATGCAAGAATGGAGAAGCAGTCCCCACACACAGTCTCAAAGTGCAGGAAGCTAACAGAACAAGTAGCGAAATATTGGCACAAAATTCACCCTATTTAGAAGACAAGATATTAAAAAATATCATGCAAGCTGACAGGGTAATCATACAGTGCAGCTCAAAAAAACCCAGGCACGGTAATATACTAAGCAGGGTTTGAACTGTTAGTCTCTGACAGCTCTGAGAATTACCAAAAGTCAGTCCCTTTCAACAGGAAGAGTGGTTTAAGTCACGTGGCGACAAGGTTTCTGCACTTGCAATCTGAAAACAAGCTCAAAGCCCTTGTGCAGTTCCGAACAGGAAACACCAACGGTATCACACACAAGATTACCATCTCTGCAAATGAGTCTCAGTTGAGTTAATGCAGTTTAATCAACCTAAGGGCCACAGACAAAAAAGCAATGAGGCATGGTGTATCACTAGAACATACAGCAGAATACGGCAGATTCATTATACAAACACCATTAGGAACCAGTCTACTTTGTGATCTGGAGTTATGGAAACATTAATGAACTTCAAAGCATAGTTGTTATTCTTAGTTAAACTGTTATATATGCAAATAGCAAGGATAAAAATACATTAAGTATACTTTTACAAGTCACACAGAAAGATCAAAAGCACACCTTCACCTCCTAGCCCCTGGACTACAGTGTGTAAGCATCAGAGTACTAAGTCCATGAGAACGAACGCTACCTGTTTGACTATCCAGATGACCACTACCAGCTTTGTAACTTCCTAGTAATGCTTAAATGTTTTCTGAATGAAGGAAGTTTTATAGAGAGACCCACCAGTAGCCCAACGATTAAATCACTCAAATCAGAGGTTGGCCCTCACCTATGACAGACTATGCAAAGCAGATCATCCCAGATCAATGATAAAAAAGAACTAGGGAAGAGTGATAAAGTCACAGAAGCCCCAACACAAAAAACAAAGCTGAAAAGAGGGTAACTGACTGTCACAGGAAACAACTGTGAAAGTAGTCTGTATTAAAAAAAAAAAAAAAAAAAAAAAAAGTCTCAAAACCTAGAGGAAAATTACTGAGGCATCATTTATTCCTGGCTTATAACACAAAAATCAATGGGATAGTAAATGAAACTGAAAGTTGGTACAACTGCTCCATGGAAACATTCAGAGTTTAACTGTGTAACTCATCAAAACTGGTGAGTTAGCAAACTGAGGAGTTGGTTTTTTCTACAAGCAGTCATAGTTGGAAGTGCTGGTATTTCAGAGAGCTTCAGGTAAGGATGATGAACCTCATGTTACAAGACCTAAAACTAAGGCTCCACCAATTTGGAACCAGT